GAAATTTCATAGTGCTGAGCAATCAAAAATAAATCATTATTTCGACACACCTCTAACCCCTCAACACTAGGTTGATCTATGAATTGATTTAAACCAACGTTGCCATATTAACAGAGACCAAAACAGTGAGCAAATAAGGAAAAATCCACACGCACACTCCGGTACCTACCTACCCAAAAATCGTACTTCCTTCTCAGCTAAACTTCAGAGGGTACCGATTAAGAGATTTTACTCATTCCCCTGAAATACCTCCAAAAATAACAAACTAAAATAATAAACAACAAACAGTAAACCGTAGTCAGAACTGGCGCTAGGCACAGCCCCGCTAGCTTACTCTAACTAACCGGAGAATGCGTCGGACGAATCAAATCCGCTCAAACCGCAACAAATGAATTACGAACGAACTCTCAGGAACCCACAACAATCATTATGTTATCGTGATCCCGGACGAGCCCCCATTTATGTTACGAACCCCACTTTTACAAGACTCGATCAGGAAGGGGTTAAGCAACATAAAAAGGACGCGCAAGACAGGAGATCAATTTAACCATTTATTAATGGTTAAACAGCTTATGAGTCACATCAATTAACCAACAGCAGATATAATAAAGAGTTAAATCAACTAAACTAAAGCAAAAAAAAAATCAATATGTATCCAGTAAACAAGAAAAGACGCACACACAAGCTTCCATGTTTACCATGTGATGTGCTAAAATCGCATATGGCAAAGCCTAAATTAAATTTGTTCATCAAATAAAGTGATTGTATCTCTTCATAAGACTTGGATTAAACTGCTAGATTAAAATGGATTCATTTTATGATGCCTTTATGAACTTTCTGGATCTTCTGGTTACTTGGGACAGAAACATCTCAGATTTCATTAAAAAAAAACGTAATTTGACTTTCAAAGATGACCAAAGTCTTACAGCTTTGGAACAACATGAAGATGAGTAAATAATGGCAGAATTGTACATTTTTGGGTAATATAAAGCATATCTCATGTTTAGGACAATGTTAAGGATAATGTACATTTTCCACAGCAGCTCACCTTGTGTCCTTTGCTATTTATCAGATGCGTTTGCAACATCAAAGTTTTAAATTCCATTCTGCACACACAGAAGTTCCACACATGCAGTATGCAACACTGCATTCATTGGCTAAGCGTGTGCCAAACCAAAAGACCTGTACAAAAAAATTTTGGTACAAATACGTGTACAGTTACATCCCTAAAATAAATAGTGGTAAACTTTTAGGTAAGATTTGGTTTCAGGCTTGTAAATGGGACAAAGTCCTGGGGTTTGGGGTTTAAAATAAATTCTTACAGAATGTTTGAGCAATATCAATATAGTGCTGCCTTGCAAACACTAGCAAAAAACACCCTAAACACACCCACACACCAGGAGTCATTCTGAATATGTGACAGGAAGAAAGATATACAATATGTGGGAGAGGAGGACACAGAGGAGTTAGAGAGACATCAATAAGGAACAGCACAAACCCACAGGTGACCTTCATACCTCACAGCATGTTATAAAGATAGATCTGTGTTTTGGTTGAACATGTTAAGCCAGTCAGTTCTGAGCGTGTCTGTCATTAGGTTGTGTCTTAATTTCTTGTTCTTTTTGTACACAGACGGATACTTCACAGCTACAGAGCAAGGTGGATATGCATGATATGTTCGACAATCCCTTATATGTGGTGAGAAAAAGAGCTAAAGATTAAATGTTTTCAGTGAGGGACTGTGTATTGGTTTGGGTAAATACCACGAATTGGGTTCATTTTGATGAACGAGGGAAGGATGTGTCCTAACAGTAATATAGTTCTGGTTCACGGATGTAAGCACACAGCCAGCCCTGTTGACATCCCATCTTTCCTTATGCTGCTGAAAGCAGGAAGATGAATGCTGTAATACAATGAAAGCTCTAACAGTGTGCCGTAAAGGAGGGGCTCATTTTAACAGCTCATGAAGGCATGTCAAGGCCTCTGGGGAAAGAAAATTTCCCTCACTGGTGAAGAAGGCAAATAAAGGAAGTGAAAGACCTTGAAAGTATCCTTTTTGAAATGACTGCGTGATTGAAAGAGGCATCTGTTCTGTAGGCATAAAGGAAACTGATCTTTGCTAAAAAGAGCACAATTATAGACAAAAAGGACATTATATCTGATAATATGAAATTAAATTATAATTTACAAGTATACACTACCGGTGAATATTTGGATCTGTTTTTGCTTCTGATAAAAGTATCTTATGCTCACCAAGGCTGCAGTTAAAACAGATACACTGAGTACCAATAATAATTGATAACTGAGCACCAAATCATAATGGTATTGAAGATTGAATTAATGGCTGCTGAAAATTCAGCTTTGCCATCACAGGAATAAATTACATTTGAAATATATTCAAATACAAAACACTTATTTTGAATTATAATATTATTTCACAATATTTTACTGTATTTTTTTATCAAATAAATGGAGACTTGGTGAGCATAAGAGACGTCTTTCATTAAAAAAAACATTAGACATATTAATTATTCCAAACTTTTGACCTGTATAACTATTATTGTATTATCTATTAGAGTATTATATTAAAAGTATATGTGCATATAGAATTTTAATATTATAATATATGTTATATATGGTAGCAAATGGTATGACAGCAAATCTATAATTTATAAATTCATTAATACAAACTTAAATGTTTTTATTACTGTCATTTGCAATGGTTATGTTCTATGAATATTATACTTTTGAATTCTATGTTTAACAGCCATCAAAGCATTCTCATAATATTCTGTGCTATTTAAAAGTCAATATACTGCACTGTTTAGCAAGTGAGGAATGAGTATCTCAAAATTAGCTCAAAATACTTAATTTGAAATAGATTAATGAAAGGTCAGACCCTAAGATGCTTAGAATACAGCTTTGACACAGATCTAGCTTGATTGGCTCATTCGAGACCTGTGAGGAGATTGATTTCTGCAAATGCAGATTCAGTCTCTTTATGCTTAGTTCTTGCTCGCTTATCATTCCCTCCAGAATGTGACATGATTTCCCCACATCAGCAGAAACGAACTGCTTGGTAGTGATATATACTGTAGTGATTCAAGTAAAATTGAAATGTTCCTCTGCTACCTCTGCGCTACCTCTTCTAAATTTGTGTCCAAAAAAGTGTCCAAAATTGACAAAAATTGAAGAAAGACACCTGATACACATTTTTTTGTGTCTTGGCAGGATGGACAAACACATAACCAGGGAGAATCTACAATCTGAAGACAATTTGAGATTATTTTACAGGATCGGCTCTCAGTCACTTCAGCAGCTAAGATGTACGGCTGGTAAATTATGGCTGTAGTATCTACTCACATGTGATTTAGGTTTCCATTTACAGGGAGTTACATCAAAGTTTTGGACAACAAACTTGCTGTAAACTGTGACTAGTTTTGTTGATTGTTCCTTTTAGTATATTTTTATAGATTAAAATTTGCCTTGAGATACTTCATATATATATATATATATATATATATATATATATATAA